TTTTGATTGACTGAAAGGACCATTGAGGACATTCTGAAGTAACACTTAAATATGGGACACTTGGAATAACAGGATAGTTTATTTTTAGAAATATGATGTTCCTCATTAAATAGAGATGATTCTCTTTGGTCCAGGACTGCTACTTGCTCTGAAATTAATATCATGAGCCACCTCCTTGTAAAGAGATACATAGAAACTCAGATTTACAGTAGCGGGTATTTAACAGAGAAAGCAGAAAGCGTACTTACCAGCATTGATGAAATCTGTCAACAAAGTGCAATAAGAAAACCTATGTATGGTCTAAAAAGAAGCCCATAAGCTATCAATAATTTCTTATTGTACTGAAGAATTATATGAAATAGGGACGATCTATCTCTGAATGAAATTATCAAAGATTCCAATACTAAGAGATCAACAAGATTGAAAAATAGTGACTCACATCTTGTGCAGAAGCAACTGTGCTGCTGGGCTTCATTTCAAAAAAAGATGTATTTTCATAGAGTGCATAGGTGAGTCATTTTACAAAACAGATATTAAATGTGTACGTTTATTTGTCAAACTAAAATTATGCAACCTTCAATGTGATATTTGTTATACATTAAATTGAATCTGAGGGGGGTTGTTTCATATGCTTATACATATGTATGCATGTAACTGATCTACATATTGAAACATACTTTTGAGAAACTTAGAATGACCAATTTATATTATTTTAATTTATTTTAGCTAATCAATTTGAGTTCCACAATAAGTAAAGTATGCCTTTCTTATTTCCACTCAGTTGTATAATATCATTGAAATAAAACAATGAAGATTGCAGGGAAGTGTAACTTGCATTTGCCATCAAAATACAATGTTGATTGTTTGAATAGCTCAGCTTTTGATAGGACCTCATTAGTTCTTTTAGATAGTTTTTATTTTTCTCTCAGTGTTGATGGGATTCCTAATCTGTGATATCTTCTGACAAGGAAGATATGACTTCAAGAATAATTTAAATCCATCAGAAAGATCTAAATCTGCTTTGGGGTTCCACAAAAATCTGGACATGAATCTTGAAGATTGATATTCTGTTTTTGAGCTGTAGATGTCCCTGCTATTTCACATACAAATTCTGAAGTTCTCTTCAGAACTAGAGGCAGTTATTCAGTAATCCTTTACTTAATTCTAAAATAGAAAGCTAATCTAGGTTTATAAATGCCCCAAGGGCTTCCTTCTTTATGAGATATTCTTGTGAAATATTTTTTTGAAACCTTCAGTTTTCAAAGGTTAATTGTCCTGCAGGCTAAGCAGGTTAATAAGATTGCTCCATTATTGGGTGGGGGAGACACTGTCCAGTAGCCATACTGGGTTACCACAAGGGTTTCTGGATTGCAGTGTAGTAAAACTTTCACTTGATTCAGATAGGCTCAGTCAAATCTCAAGATATCTCTCAATTACCAGAAGAAAAAATCACTTCCCCAAGTTTAACTTTGATATTCATTTATGATCACTGGAAGCTTCTGTAATCTTTCCTTTCCTTAGAATTTAAGTGCAGAGATGGTTGATGGTCATGATGGTGAAGGATTAACAGGACATGTGTATCAAGGATGCTGGGAAATGTAGTTTTCAAAGGCATCTCAGTACCTAGTATAGATTTTAGTAAACTGCTTATCTCAGAACTATTGTACCAAGGATTATGATTCTTTATCCCTTTGATAAGAGTTTTGGGACATATAATTATCAGAATGTTTGACAACAATTATAATGACATACCTCTAGAATTTTCTGCTCTTATTATTTCTAATATTGTGATGGAAATCTGTACTGTATAGTTTGGTGTAATAGTTAAGGCACCAAGCTAGAGACTGGGATATTGTGAATTCTAGTCTTGCAAAACTTTTGCCTTTTATATGTCTATAAGGCATCCTAATCCTTATAATTGCAACACCTTCAAAACAATAGCAGCATAGCAAAGAGCTTCACTATTTATTTCAAGAACAAAAGCATGTAATGAATAATAACTTCTTCATTTCCCCAGAGCTGAGGATTAAGTTCATGTTGTTCCTTACTTATCTAGTTTTATTCTGATAAGAGGTGATTATGGTTAGGAATAAACACTAAGAACATCTCTTCATAATTACCTATTTTTAAATGAAAACCACCAAGAATTATAACTGTGCAACTTCACCGATATCTAATTTTCAAAGGAGTGGATCTCAAGAGAGATCAATCTTTGATCTCATTACAATGTAGAGAACATTTGAGAATAGAAAATTAAAAACAATAGTGGCTCAATAATAAGCCTAGCTAATATTGTAATTAATTTGTTTCACACAAAAAATTAGATTTATCACGTATGAGATTTGTATCCTGCCTTTGAGGCTCAGGAAGAGAACTGACTTTTTTTCTTATTTTGTGATAATGGCAGTAATGGTAATGCTGTGGCTGCTATTATAAAAGCAATCTACATTTTTCATCTATGGAGATTCTGTGCTGGAATATGAAATTCTTATATAAAGTAGGGTAGCTGTGATAGAAGAATTCACACCTCACCAAAATAAGACAGATGTGTAATGGTTAAAATTTGTTGGCAAAATTTTTTTGATCACATCAGAATTGCTCAAACTATAGTCCTTTATTATCTTGTATAAAGTAAAATATTTTTTTAATCTTTTGCTTCTTACTTCATTGCCAGTCATAATTTCTGTTTCTGTGTAATAAATCCTTTCTTTACTCAAGTTAAGGATTCACAACATGTGTGCATATGCAAAACATGCAATAATACACTGACTGCTTGATAATAAGCAAGGAAGTTTCGCTGATCCAGAAAAAAATAACATCAATTTATTTCAAAAGAGAATTAAGCACGAAAGGTGGTATTCTGCAGGTTCTGTCCAGTTCTGGAGAACTGGTAGTGGAAATTTTGAGTAGTTCGGATAACCAGAAAATACCACCTCTGACCCCGCCCCCATCTATTCTCTGCGTCCCAACTCCCAGCTGATCGGCTGGGTTTTCTTTTGTTGCCCTGCACAGGAGAATGGAGCTGGAAAGCAGGTTAGTGGGATGGGGAGGGAATGGGATTTTTCAGTAACCTTCCCCCAGGAGTGGGGAGGGAATGGAGATTTTACAGTATCCTTCCCCTGCCACACCTACCAAGCCACACCCACCAAGCCAAGCCATGTCACCAAGCCACGCCTACAGAACCGGTAGTGAAAACAATTTGAATCCCACCACTGATTAGAACTATCCTGTGTAAATCAATCTCTTTACTATTAAAGATCTCCTGTCCATTTGTTTGTAACTTTCAATTAGGCAAAATGGTGCATGCTAGAGGAAGAGTTTTTGAGGGTATCTCAAATGCATTGAAAGAATGCAAACAAGAGACCCATTTCTCAAATTTCAAGTTATCTTCAGACTAGCTGTATTTGAAACTTGTGGCACAGTTCTGCTGTGGTCAGCCACAGTCACATGTTTGTGATTTGTGACGCTCCCGACCAACTTCCCACAAGCAATATCAACGTTGAAGCTGGCTGGAAATTAGAAGTTGCTCCCACTCCCACTAATTTTTGCCCAAGCACGGTTGTTCTGTCTCTCTGTTTTGGTAAGGAAATATCTCCGAAAGGATGATCCAACAGGTCATAAGTTTTCTAATGGGATATAAAAGTGGCTATGTTCTGCTGACAAATTGTAGTCTTCTGTCTTTGACAACATTGCCATTCAGCTATTATTTGTGTTTTATATATATATATCATTATATCTCCAATATAGATAGATAGAGAGACAGAGATATATATGAATACATATACCATTTTCAGATCATTTTTTTTCCTCGGGTATTTTTACAGTTTCACTTTTCTCTAGTTTAACCCTCAGATGGAAGTTCCATTAATTTAATATGCTCTAATTCTGAATATACATGTAAAGAATTGTATAATAAGGTAAAATTATATTTAGTATATTAAGAGCTACAAATGTCATGTCAAAAGTTTGCTGCCCTTATTTCACATAGTTAAAAAGGTGTTTTTTTTTTGACAATGTGGAACAGTTTCTTAGGGATTTCAGATTTATGCATATAGAATTAAACAAAATATTCTCAAAGAAAATGTCCTTGATTTCACATAGTGGAATAAGATTGAACTCTCTTTTCCAATGTTTGTACACTAATTTTGTCATTTAAATAACACTTTTGTGACTGATCAGTTTTTTCAGGTTCATATTCCAGTTAAATGAAGGAGCTTGGAAATGTAGCTTTTTATTTCCCCCAATATAACTTTATCAGAAAACTTTATTTAGGTTGCACATTATATTCACTTAGAATTTTTTTTTCAAACAAGAGATTTCTATGACAAGTTTGTTTACTCCCCAACTCTGTGTCCCATTATATTTGTTGGGAGGAAAGAAAGATCATAATTATAGCATAATATATTTTAATTTTTTCCCTTTGAAAGTTATTCTTCATTAGGAAAACTCATGTCCTTTTCACACTACAGTTGGGATATTTTAATTAAATAAAAAGATGGAAATGGAAACTGAGGGATTGCTTTAATTAGCTGATTAGGGAGGGGGAACGTTACTTGTAAGAATTGGCATTTGAAAGTATCAAAGAAGTTTGAAAGTATTCTTATCAAGATTTGAGCAGGAGAAGTTATACATACATACATACACACACATACACATACATATACACATATATACATACTTGTTTTCTTAAGTTTTTGAGGGTATTTATATGTATGGTATTCAGCTTTGTTCGGGTATTTTCCCACGTCATTATAGTTGTGCTTTTTAAAGTTGTAGCAACGTTTCGGCAGAATCTCATCTGCCATCATCAGAAGCCTGATGATGGCAGATGAGATTCTGCTGAAACGTTGCTACAACTTTAAAAAATGCCCAAACAAAGCTGAATACCATACATACATACATACATACATACATACATACATACATACATACATAAACACTAGTGTGTTTTAAACTGATAATTTAAAATGTACATGTATCTTTTTACTTTGAAAATATAGTACGTTTACTCCTAAAATGCAAGGCGGAAGGATGGGGACTTCAGGGAGAATCATCACAAAGAGCACAAGTGTGAGTGGAGAAGTATATAAGCTGGAACAGAATGATGGGAGTCAATCAGATACCGCAGTTGGGACAGTTGGAACAGGTGGGAAGAAGAGAAGATCAAGCCTTAGTGCCAAAGTGGTTGCCATGGTATCTCGCAGAAGCAGAAGCACATCCCAGCTTAGCCAAACAGGTGAGTGAGATAAATGTAGCAGGAGGTTTCTGAGAAGAAGCTATTTTCTTGTGGGCTTATGATACAGTCACAAGTGTCAACTATGAAATGTTGTAAAATAAGTACTCTGGAATTTTGTTTTGCTCATTGATCTACACTGACCTGAAAGACACTTAGAGTACCCACAATGTGATTTTTTTTAAATGAACATATTGATTTGAAAATAATAAATGATAGCTACTTTATATATATAAAGTCCCTGAAGAAACTCAGTGAAGCAAACTAATAAGACTATAGCATGATGCTATGTAACATGCTTTTAATTTTTTTTTCTCTTGAGGTACTTTAGGAACCATAAAAGCTTCATCTCTATAGCCTAAAGAAAGAACAGGGATACTATAGAGAGATAGAAGAATGCTTTAAGGTTCACAGCTCTCTTCAATCTATGAAATCCGTTCCTCATTCTGATAAGTGTAGACCTCCTTAGCTGACGCTTAAGAAAGAAAAGGAAAAAAAATAAAATCTTGATTTAAATACAGGGTTTAGTCACATTTATAGAAGGTGATTTCATCGGCAAGATAATCACAGTCTGCAGGTATGTCAAATATTTCTGATTATCTTACTGTATCCTGCCTTTTTTTAAAAAAATGATTAATTAATTGCCCCTTTTCCCACTTCATTAGCACTGATAAGATGAATGGAATTTAGCTGCTTAAATAACCCAGGGTAGTTTATATATGCTTGGTTTTCAAATAAATCATCAGATAAAAATGCATAAGTGTACGGTATGTGTTCAATCTATTTTACAGGAAGTATCTGGAGTTAATAATATTCAAAGTCATGTTATGTGGCATATTTGCAAGATTTTTTAAAAGAAGTGGTCCTAGTTTGTTTGGGGGCAGTACTTCTTAAAACTGTATTTCAATCCCAGTCAATGTGGCAGCATTAACATAATCTATTCTGATATCTAGATTTCTGTTGAATGGTCTTATCAGAAATAGTATGCAAAATTAACGCTACTCATTTTGGTTCTTCTGAATAGAGCTATGATTAAAATGCACTTTTCTATTTACCAAACAGGCATCCCACAGCTTCGGGATACTTTGCGTCTCTCACAAATCAATGTTGAGTTTTACTTCTTAGAAGAATGGGGCCATCAGATATTAAGTGTATCATCTCATTTATTTCAGTGGGTTTTACTTCCAAATAAAAATGCTTCAGACTTCTATCTGAAATGAGAGCCTCTCCATTGTGTTGATTTCCTACATTCACTTTCCCTATTAAAGTGTTACATGAAAAAGAAAGACATCCTGCCATTCGTGTCTGTACACATATGTATATAAAAAGATATGGTTGGTCTCAGTTATAGATATTTAACTATATTGTAATAAAACTTATTGTGATAAAGATTCATAAAAATATGGTCTATTGAAAATTGAATGGGTTGCTTTAAGGATTCATGGTTTACATAAAATATTCACCAGTCATGTATTTTTAATTGATATTGGTGCACTTTTCAGGTTCTTTAAACAGTGCAACAGTAGCAAAGATTGCTGTGATAAGCAGTGTTGGATCATTTATATATTTGTTAGAAAATATTTAACAATGATGTTTTGGCTCATCTTGGAAGCTGGCATTACTTTTACTCTCATTATAATTTGTTTTGTTCTTTATTTTCTATGAAGAGACAACATTTAATATACTCTGAGAATGGAATAAAATAACTCCTGTTTCAACAGAGTGATAAATGTATGATAGAGATACATTGTTTGTGTAGTTATTATAATTCA